GAAAGACATCGAAAGACTGAAGGTGTCTGTTTTTGTCTTTTGGTTTTGAAGGTTCTTGCATTTAGGGATTCGGGTTTGGCGCTATATGGTTCAGGGCTATATAAACCGGATTCTGCGCCCCGCCGCCGGCAACACCTCCTTGCTTGGGTTCCTTTCGCCGGTCTGCTTAGATCGCGCAACATTTTGCTTCCGCCATGCTGGGCCTCTGCACATCTCTGCACTGCTGAGGTCTGTGAGCCCTGTACAAGGATGGTTGATGCCACACAGAAAGCTGTACGGCAGATTCGACCCCAGTCACCGGGCAGGAACAGAACTTGAACATCATCCAGCCGCGGCATAGCTGCCCTGGCTTCCGAGGCATCAGTCTATCCATCCGTAGTGGCCAACCTGTCCAGGTCCAGGCAGGAAGCAGTGATCACTCTTTATTTACAATCAGAATCAATTGTATCAGCCTTGTCGCAATGGATTTCGAAGTCACGATGATCGAAAGGACTGCCAAGACTAATCCAGCCTGCACGCTTGAGGCTGTTGAATTTGCAGTTCACGAAAACCCAACCGCAGCTGAGACATAAGCTGTCGCAAGGACCACAGAAGATGGCCCTGCCGTCACTCCGCCTGCAACGTGGCATGTCGAGGCACGAGCTTAAACGAGCTTACATGAAGTGCAGCTCCCTGGACATGTCGACATGCCTTGCTCCGGCACACGGATGCTCCCATGACCTTCAGCATTGCATCCACGGCACGAATGCAAATACTGGCTTCGGACAATACCGGGGGTTACGGGCCACGTTATGTGGAAGATGATGGACTTGGTGAAAAGATTCTGTGGAAGGGTATGGGGTCTAGGATATGAAGGGTATCCGTACCTCGACTTCGGAAAACATGGGGGGTTATACCATCAGTGCCATGCGCTAAGAAGCGATTGTATTGTAACAGAGAGCGTTGGCCATCTGTCACTTGCTTGTTGGATCTGTCGCATTATTTTCCAAACACTAACGCTCACACTGGTCCCACAAAACCTCCCGCATTCCAAGACACTGAGAATGGTAGGCAATCGTCTTTGTAAGTTTCGTACATGCCGCCGAGATATCCCAAGTCTACGCGAATTACGTTGCCGCGCGGCTGGCATGCCAGTATGCATTTCTACCTACTCGGAACTCAGCATCGCGCTCATCCCAAGCGGCATTGAGCTTCTGCAGCTCTGTCACAGTCTCCTTTCTTCTTGGGACAAGCCCAGAGGTCAAATTACAGATACGCACGTCACAACCAGCTAGAAAACTGCGTGCGCTCCTCCCTCGAGCTCACGAGAGCCTGGGCAGAGAACTTTTCTATTCTTCCATCCTTTGCATGCGCCAGTCGGCATTTGCAGCCAGATCTACAGTAAAGAGCTCCAACACTTTATGAACAGATTCCGTCTGCAGGCTTCTGGGAGGGGGTGGAGCTCCTGGGGTTGTCGGATTTTAGGGCTGTGGGGTGCTGGCATGCTGGCGCAACTTTCCCAGGCCCCTCTTTTCAGTTGCCTGGAATGTGCGTGATGATCGATCTTGCTAATCCTGTGCTCAGTCCTGTTAGCGGGTATACAGATTATACAGTCAGTTGCGCGAAAAGCAGGAACCTGGGGGTTCATTTCCTGTGGCAGGCGCGTGGCGTGTTCCAGCATTGCATATATTTTCACATATTTCAGGAACCGGCCGGCGAAGCGGCAGGAAAATGTTTGACCCAGGGCGGGGGGTCCCTGGCAACCCTGGCGTAGCTTCATGCTAGCAAACCTGCAATGTTGGAGTTAACATGAGTCTGAGACTTGAACGAGATTCTTCTAAAACCGCAGTGTTGCAGCTTTGTACAGTGTCGAGAGAAGAGGCAGGAAAATGGATAAGCCGGAGGGTGCTCCCAGGCAAGCGATAATATTCATTCACCGTGGCGGGTGCGTGGCGGGTGATTCCTGGACCCAGGCATAGCTTTATGCTAGCAAGCCTAACTTTCCTGGATAAAGAGTCTTGTCAGAACTGCAGTGTTGCAGCATCGCACATGTGCGTAATGCAAGGGCTGCTAGGTGCACAAATGCTTGACATATGTGACTGAACGTGAATGATGCTTTACAGTACTGCCACTACCCTCACTATCCCTCACTCCTCTGCATTTGTTTGCGCTCTTGATGCTAACATGTTGAATCACGAGAAATATTTCTGCAAAGACAACCAGGGGCTACTTTGCCGCAGGCAGTGTGGGACATGACACGTGCACTTTTTTAAACTGTGCATTTTGTTTTATAAAGGTATGCAACAGCATTCCCTTGCGATGCGATGAGCGGGGGGGGGGGGGGGGGGGGGGGGGGCAGGAGCATTTGTGGCTGGTTTGGCTGTGGCTTGGTGTCTCTGCAAAGACCTCCCCTCCGAAGAGGAGACCGTCCACATGACTGACGATCATGCCTTTCTGTAGGCATGGCGCGCACATTATTGTACTCCACATTTACTTGAGGCAGCGGGTCTGCACGTTGATAAAGGTTGGCAATTTCCATTGCTGGATGTTCGGTAGAGCTGTCTTCTCACTTGAGTCAAAGATGTGAAGCCACAACCCTGACGAACACAAAAACACCCTGCAAGTAGGATCACTCCTGCACATCCATGGACGTTTCAAGACTTCAAAATATGTCAAGTAGGATTCACTCCTGCACATCCACGGACATTCTTCCAATGCACTCTTTGGTTTTGTTCACCAATTTTGGTTGGTTACCGTTGTATTCTGTTTCTTTTTGGGGGGGCCTGGCTCTGCTCCGACGGGCGCAACTGTTCAGCGCGCTGCCTGCCAGTCGAAGGTTGCAGCGAAGTGCTTCACACCATTCAATCTCTTCAGCCGTGCCTTGAGTGTTGCTGGCTGACCTGTCCATGGGCAGCAGAATCGGCAGCTCAGGGAAATGAGCAGTCAAATGTCGCCTGTGGGCTGCCAGCTTTGCCAGCTTGTGCCACCTTCCTCCGCTCTGCCTCAGCTTTCTGCAGCTTCTGCTTGTTCTCCGCTGCCTGCTTGCAAGATCTTGCAAGAAGCTGGACATGATCACACTTCCCTTTTCCATGCAAAGTAGGTCAAAGTAGGCTCAGGAGGCCTGTCTTTGTGCCTTCAGTCGATCTGCCATTGCTTGCTTCCCCTTAGTTCGAAGCGCGGCTTTGTAGACACATGCCAGCAGCATCCAGCTGTGCACTGCTTACATGGCTGACATCTCCCACAGGATCTCGGCGCGCTCTTGCCCCGCCCGTCGGCCAGGGTCGTCCAACGGAGCTTGTGCCTGACGCCCATGTCAACGACACTCGCTCACTTCGATTGCCTAATCCGCATTGATGAGTCTGCATCGCGTTGTCAGACAACGCTGCGCCCGGTTAGTCTCCTCTTGAGTGTCCAACATGCGGTGCAGTGGGGCATGAGTGCGGCTCTTCCGGCTGTAGGTCCTGACAACTAGGGTCTGTGGAGTGCTGCCCGTGCACTGCTGCAGCACTGACATTAGTGTGCACGAACCGGTAACATGCAGAGCCTCACGAGCCCCCTTGTCAGAAGCCTCTCAAGCCGAGCAAATGCCGGACAACATCTCGAGACTTCACGGGGTTCGGAGATGCACTTCGAGACAATTCGACTTAATTCGACACATGCTGAAAAAGATCTGCCTTTGTTGCCCAGAAGTCGTCAAACCATGCATCCTGCAGTCAAGATAGTGTCAAAAGCAAAGCCCCACAGAGCTCAACAACCTTCCTGCCTGACACTCGCGTGTGTTATCGCACAAGGAGATACAACGTCCGTTTGGTACGATCGCCTCCGCTGGCTCCACAAACTTTGGCGCCCGCTTTTGCTTCTTGGCGGAATGCAATTGGCTCCCTGCATGACTTTCTGCCTTAGTAATGAACTTGTTGAGAAACCTGTTGAACCACCGGAAATGCTTGTGCCCTGTCAGGGACGGAGCTTCATGAAGGGAGACGGTTGCGCGACGCAAGCTTGAGTTCAGGCGACGAGTGCTCAGTGGCGGCCGTGGCGTCACTGAAAACGAGAGCAAAGGACCGTGCAGAGCGAGGGGATATTGAGGGTGTCCGTTTTCATTCAGCTTGGCCTTGGCCCGACGTAACCTCGGGCGGGGCGCGGAGCAGGGGAAGCCTGCGCTCTGATGTCATCTGCTTTGATCTTTTTTGCGTGGCGTTTCCTGCACCATCCTGCACCATACGCGGTTCCCTAATCAGTGTCAATTATGATTCCAAGCTTTCTTGTGCTTCTGCAGTACTGTCCGAGCAAATATCTCCCGATGAGATCTCAATTCACATTAGGATTGCATGGCAGCTCATGCACATCGCCTTAGTCCCTTCCCGATGGCTTCTGCGATTCTATAGGACCTCTGCTGCCTCATCTGCTGCATATCTTATGCTCGTCAGAGATCCAAAGGATTGTGTGGAGCTCGAGGCTCCCTTGAAAGGCTGACCGCCCCCTTGTCCAAAGTCTAAAGGGGCTCTGCACCTTGGGTTGAGATGACAAATTGCTTGAACTTGGGTCGCTTCTTCTGGTGGCAGCATACTTATCTTGGCATTTGCCCTCGGAGGCTGGGCCGGGAACAGCAGCGGTAGTGGCAGGAAAACATGAATGGCTGTGGAAAGCGGAGATGGGGGCAAACCTTCGTGGCAGCAAGCAATGGCACAGCAATCCTTCCAGCACTGACTGCTGCACACAATGCTGAAACACCCCGCGCTCCTCTTCATTTTCCTTGTTTTCTTCGGCTGCCTGCCGGAGCATCATGCGCTAGACAAGCGCCAGCGCGCAATCCGAACACGTCTTCCAAGCACAGCAGCTCCACTACATGCACGCATTCATCAACGAAGAGGCCGGGCCGGAGTATGCGCTATACATCAATGAGTCAGTGAGTGAACAACGAGATTCCAAGAAACATGCTAAGAACTTAAGAACTTCTTGCCTGCCTTCAAATCAACCTGCAAGGCTGGGAGACTTGAAGCCTGCAACGCACTACGCAGCTATCACGTCAGCTTAGTGCAAGCCATCCTGAGCCCTCTCAATGCACACACAGCCTGTTCAGAAGGCTCCTTCTTTTGGCGGGGAATGGATGTTCCGCACTCTGATGTCGCTCTGCTGTTCTGTTGGATGGCCGGTGCCGAAATAACTCTTGCTTTTCTGAGGGCCTCAGCCGCAAACGATCCCCCGCGATTCCCATGCAGAAACGCAGCCAGGCTTCGTGCCGTGTTGCTTGGCAAACACTGGAGTGGTACCTCTGAATCTATGTCCAAAGAAGCCTCAGCCATGAAATGGCTACCAGGGAAGCGACAACAATACAGAAAACATGTGGGGCAACTTCACATGCGACAGCTGCCTTCTTGAGCTCCGTACCAAACTAGTCGAGTTGGAGCCGGCTATGAAGACGCCACGACTGTTCGGCAATGTTCGGCATGTTCGACACAATTGCCACGGTGCAAGGACTGCGGTAAAAACCAAAAGAGCCGGGTGGGCCAAAACAAGCGAGGCAAAGCGCTGCCAAACCCGAAGCCGCTGCACCTCAATTCGCTCACCGCATCTGCGTTTCATTGAATGCCGCTCACATCTTTACAACATTGTACAAAGGGCACATCTGCAAAGCTGCTGCCCGGAGGTCACCCAGCGTCGAGCCTGCACAGGGTCTGTGAAGCCGTCGCGTGCCCAATCTGGAGTGCCCATCATGAAACAGAGCTGCCTGCGCTGCCTTTCATTTCAAGCTATTCCAAAATTTGTCCAATATTCCATGCAGTATTCGCACTAATCAACCTCGGGCTGCAGGAAAATTTCAAAACGGCAGAAACGAACATGCCAATTCCAATCCAGAAAATGCGACCGCACTGTCATGTCCCTGCCAAAATGCCATGCTTTGGAGTATGACGGCTTCGAGTGTCCTCAGTGTACTGTAATTTGCGAAGTATTGTGGCTGGCTGACGAGTAGATGTATGCGGTATTATGCGGTGATGCCGCATACCAGTATGCCCTTCAACATCTATCCTGGGGAACTCAACCGCGCCCTCAGACACTGCATAGCCTGTCAAGGACCGCAAGGAACATCAAAGTGGAAACTGATGCTTTCGAACGTCTCCGCAATATACTTTTCCATATAACGATGGAAGGCTGAGGGTGTGGGCTCTGCATCTCGAAAAAACGCGTGCTGTTCTTGATAACAATTATCACCTGCATCTTTGATCGAATCCAGCCTGGAGGCAGCTGTATATCGACTTCACGTACCTCGGCCGAATTTTGACTCACGTCGTGTGTTGATTTGTACGGGTTTGCATGCCCAATACCTCGAACGCTGTAAGATTTTGGCCTGCGAAGGTTGTAGAGGATATTACATGTTCAAAAAGGAGTTGAAGAGGAAGCGCGCGGGCCACCATGGATTTGGCTGGAGAGGGACCCGACAGGATTCAGCAATACACGACTGAGCACAAAACTAAAGCCAAAACCGACATTGATCTGTTTTGTTCCGGACTTACTCCTTGCCTAAAGAGTCAACACGATTCCCATGTTAAGGACGCCGTAGGACGGTAAGATAATGGAAAAACAAAGAGCCCGCGAAGCGCTTAAGCCTCTTAGGCCTATTGCATGGCCCTCGCTTTGGCGTGGTCTTTGTTTTGCGTCAAAATTGTGCTCCCGTCTAAACACGGTTTTCATCGTGACATGCTGGGCTCTGGCATCGTCATCGTCCAACATGACAAATATTGACAAATCATGCTCTACATAGTGCCCCACTCGGTCACGCTCGCGTCTTCGCACTTCAGCGTTCGGGGTAGCGAAAACGTGGCAGGAAACTTTGCTGCCCCTTGGGTTCTTGATGGTTCTTGGACTGCTTTGAACGTGCATCCGAGATTTGCATCTCGGGGTCTTTATGAACATCGACTGCACTCCCGCCAGAGTTCTGCGAACAAGCCTCCGAAAACCATCGCCGTTTGGCTTCGGGATCGTTCCCCTGCAAATCGTGCTGCTATGGGTGCATTGGGTACATGATGCCAAGGTGGGTTTTGACTCGAGCCCATGTACCAAGTCGCACAACTCGTTTCGAACCTCCATCTTGTAAGGGTTGCCCATCCTGTTCACAGCTTTCCGATGTGCGTGTATATGTGGTCTTGGCGGATGTCGCTGCGTGCACCACATTGACAACTGGCGTGACGGACGTGGAGGGACTTGTAAAGCGATCTTGCCACACGTCGGCACCACAGCAAAGCACTTCTCTCCGCTGTCCACCGCCTGGAAAGCTTCCCCGCTGATCCATTAGTTAGCTCCAGCTCGCGGGCATCATATCCCCAGTCCAGACTCCGGCACCTTCTCGTCCGCGCCCAGGTTTGTCTCTGGTGTCCATGTTCCTGCTAGTGCCTCCGCGAACAGCTGGTGCGACACATCCAGCGGATCTCTCGTTGCGGTCGGTCCAGTAGCCCTGTGCCTTCAATGGAAGTATGCGGCTTCTCTTTCTGTCGGTTTCTTTCCTTCATTCCGCTCGCCCTCGTGCTTTTCTAGCTTCACGAGACACTACGAACCATGAGTCCTGCCTGAAAAAATCAACGGGACACTGCTTGCGATTTCACATTTTCGTAACCTTCAAAAAGGCGGGGACACAAGATCGCGGCAACGGATTTAAACAAAAAACCAACAAGACGAGGGGTGACGCAGTTTGCGAATTAACGTTTCAGAGCCTTAAAAACGAAAAAGATGATGGGGACATAGCTCGTGATTTACGATTTGAGAGAGCACAAATAGTCGGAGAGAAAGCATTTTGGCCTTTACAATGCTTGCGATTTAACCGCTTGGAAAACATTGGTTGAAAAACGCGATACTGATGAATGCTGCTTCTTGCAATTATTGCCCTGACAATACAGCACTGAGGTCTTGGCACCAGCGGCTTCATGTCCTAAGATTCTCCGACTGAGACACTCGGCGAAATTCTGCGATACATACAGATACAGCCAAAGTCTTCCTCCGCACTTCTCAGAAGATGCTTAGATGCGTGCCGGTGTCATGAGGCACAAGTATTCGGATGAAGAAGGCTTCCTGACCCAAAATACGCTTAGAAATGAAGTGAAGGTCTGCTGCAAGGGAAGACCATGCGACGAGTCAGCGAGAATCTGTACGTCGAAGAGAATCTTGAGGAGCACGAACATAATAGACGGTCAACGCTCCATTCATTCAGCAGTTCACAGATGTTCACGGCATCGGTACGGGCTTACCATGGCTTAATGTCGTATCCTGATTAGTGTGGACCCCTCCAATAATGAAAAGTTTTCAAAAAATAATTCAGGGGAAAAAAATTTGGTTGCCCCCTACAATAATGAAAAGTTTTTTCGGGCATGGGTTTCGGAAGAGGGAGAAAAAACTTTCCTGAGCTGAGCTCATCTGAGCTTACCTCAGCTAAACCTTGAGGCCTGAGGTTGTCGAGCCCTGAAATCTTCATTCTCCAGGCCAACCCCAAAACTCAGATTTCCTTATAAAATGCTTTTGTACCGAGGCCGGGCAATCAAATTTCCAAGGGTGTAGTCCAGCAGCTGCCCGAATGCCGTATTATATAAAACCTTTGCTCCCCCGGAATTATATTTTTTGTGGGCTAGTTGGGTTTGGATCCAGAGGCCTAAGGGCTGAGGCTTCCTAAACCTTGAGGCCTGAGGTTGTCGGGCCCTGATATCTTAAGCCTCCAGGCCAGCCCCAAAGCTAAGATTTCCTTATAAAATGATTTGTACCGAGGCCGGGCAATCAAATTTCAAAGGGGGTAGTCCAGCAGCTGCCCGAATGCCGTATAATAAAAACGTTTGCTCCCCCGGAATTATATTTTTCGGCTTGGTTGGGATAGGTGGATCCCCTTTAAATTCATATGCAGACAACATTACCTAAGAGGAAGAGGAGAGGAAGAGAAGAGGAAGAGGAGAGGAAGAGGAGAGTAAGAGGAGAGGAAGAGGAGAGGAAGAGGAGAGGAAGAGGAGAGGGAAGAGGAGAGGGAAGAGGAGCGAAGAGGAAATGAAGAGGAGCCGGTGGGGGGGGCCCGGGACCGAAAATTAGTTTGGGGGGGTCCCTTTTTTTGTGACACTATTGCGGGGGTGGATTTAGTTTGGGGGGGGGGGGGGGGGGGCCCACACTAATCAGGAGACCACATTACCCCTTTTACAGCATGGCTGACCTTGGTCAAGAGCTCAGAACAACCAAGAACAAGGACCGGCCTTATTGTTGCACCACAATGTCTTTCTTGTAACGTAACCATCTAGTCAGCATCCGAGTCCCATCAGCATGCAGAGTCTCACCATATCTCACCGCAAAAAGCTTGACAAGCCTCATCCTTCTCTTCGAGCAAGATTGCCTGGACAGAGTCCAGATGTCGCCCAACCGTCGTGGGGAGGTCATTGATGGCCTGAAACGGAGGCTCCGCGTCACAAGTTTTGCCACTACAGCTTGCATTCGAACTTTTTGATTGTTTGGAGGTCGTTACTCTTGTGGGCAAGATCCTCTGCTGTCGCTGTCGCCCGTTCGAGTCCGGTGACCGGTGAGGCAATATCGAGACGGGTTCCAGAACTCAAGCATGCTCGTACTGTGCTCGCTTTGTTGTACACGCATCGAACCCGAAAAAATCAGCCGCTTTTTGGTTCCGCATCATGCTGAAATTGGAACCCACAGAAGCTCCGAGGTTCGCCGCTTCGGCAAGTGGCAAGTACGGACAGCTGTCTCGCCAGTTTTCATTCGGGCAGGCAGTTGCTTTGACAGCCCATCCTCGTGAGCACGATTCGATTGGCAAAGTTATGTGTTTGCATTTGAGCCGCTCCCTCATGCGACGGTGTCGCACCAGCATTCGTCATTGAGGCGAACCCAACCGACCATTGCTCGCGACATGTGTCGTTGAAACAGTGACATGTCGACAACTGTGTGCATGCTGCTCTCGCCTCGGTCCCGTGCGCATGCTCAAGTGCAGAAATTCCAGGACCGCCGCGTAAGGGCCCTTGGAGTACTCCATGGGAGTACTCTTGGAGTACTTGGAATGCTCTGGTGGTGGATCTTGGTGGACTTGGAATGCTCTTGGAGTGCTCTTGACGTGGTATTACAACGGCATAATCGGGATGTTTCTGCCACTGCCTGCTTCTGTAACCTAAACCTTAGCTGAAGACGTCTTTACTTTCGGAGTTAAGTTGTATTCTAAGTCGAAGAGCTAGTGGCAACAGGCCAGCCAAATGCAAAGCTTCAGGTCTTACGTTTTCCAGGTTCTGTGTAAGGCAGTGCTATCTATGTATGTAGTGCTGCACGAACCGCTATGCTGTAGGGGTCAAGTGGCAGGCGCAGACACATGCAGAAACCTTTCAATTTAACCCTCAACTCGTCAGACACATGTGATAAGCACGAAACATCAAAGTTACAAATCCTGATTGAATTCGTAAACCCTTGCTTTCGTCTCCGGGGCCCTCAAAACCCATAAGCACTAAACTCACCAAACCCTGCAATGCTTTCCCAGAATCTCAAACCCCCCACCCTCGATGTCCCTCGATCCCCCAATCTCCAACGTGTTGCCCAAAAACACACGGTGCTCCCTGAAGTGATGCATCCTCCATACTGGCACTTCACAGGATGGCACGGGGGGTACTGAAGCTGGAGGCTGGAAGCCTTCAGGAGCTCAGCGCACTGGTCTCGAAGCTCCTCCGATGGTGCGACTTGTAGTAGTGGGCAATTGACCTGCGGGGTGGCCAAAGCGCCAGTGAGTCTTCCAGAAGCCTGCTACCGGCCGCTGTGCGGGGTTCCGGTTTTTAAGTAAGTGGGATGCCGATATGTTTCTACATGTATCTGTATATGCATTGTTCAACTCCGGCTTCTGCCTGCATGGCCACGACGGACATCGCTGTTGCCGGGTCCACTGCTCCTGCTGCACACAGGACCTCCCAGGAGAGAGGTCTTCCACGGACGGGTCAAACAACCCGATGCCAGCCTCTGAGCCCTGCTCAAGAAAACGCCGGAAGATGCGCTGCGCTTTCTTGGGGTCGTTCTCCTGCCGAGTGCTGACACATGGAAACTGTGTGCCACTGTGCATGCGCCCGTCTCTGGTCCCAATGCAATCTGATCTTTTTCCAGGGGTGCGACTTGGCACTCGACTTGGCTAGGCAGTCATTGCCAGGGATGTGAAACATGACCGACGTCAAGAAACGTATCTGTGGCAACCTAAACTCAGCACACATCAGACAGTCTTCTCCCATTGACTTATCTCGATGTCCACGGCCCCCCATATCTGCTTGGGCGTTTGGGCACCCGGTTGCTGCACCCCGGGGCATCATCCCTTGGCCTCGGCAAATTCCAACAAATCCAACATGCTTAAAAGGAAAGGGACCTGTGCCGTGTTCTTCTCCTTCCAGCCCAGTGCAGCCAGTAGAGTCGCGCGAGCGGAGCATCTCTGTGAGTCGGTATTGTTCTGGGAAGCTGACAAATCGGGGTCATAGGTCCTATAAGACATTCATGGAGCGAAGCAGATGGTGAGTAATCTGAAAAGCTCGCGATCGGATTTTGCAGCCCTCGCACTCGGATGATCTTCTAGACGCGGCTCCAAAAAAAAGTGCTGCCCCTCACCGCGTGATACGCTCATCGGTGATGCCCCCGACAGAAGAATGAATAAAATCCGCCGAGGCCTCGGGCTATGGTAAATTGCGAAGACATTAATTAGGTTTAGGCATGCTATTGAACTGCTATTGGTTGAGTGCGATTTCGCCCCCTAGTTTGCGCTGGAGCGCGCAAGCGGACACAAGGGCAAGCGCACGCGAAACAAGCTGAGGCCGCTCTTTGAGGCATGCACATCGAAGGCCCGGAATCTATATATAAGCCTAGCATGGCCTAGCGAAACGCAAGAAGTTCTGGAGTCCACGGAGCCCATGCCAAAACACATCGAAACGCCAACAGAAACAAGCCGAGAAAGCGGGAAGCCAGGAGTACTCCAAGAGTCCAGGAGTACAACTGGCCCAAATGAGAAATATGAAATAAACACACATACACACACAGAAAACAGACAAACAGGTCCTCCAAGTGAGAGGGGGTAGCGAACGAGTTGAGCGATCAAACATGAAGCGGCATGCACTGCATGGCCTGTACCTGCACAGTCTCAACGACACTCAACAAAAGACAACAACGGGACCGGTGATGCCTTCGCTGGGTCCATCAAAGCCTCCTGAAATTGCTTCGAGAACCAGACTAAGGCGCCATCCTTTTGATTTGCCATGAAATCATCCTCGTAGCTTGGGTTCCTGTGCTGAGCAAGTGGATTGTTGCGATGTGTCGTGTATTGTTGTACAAGTGGTTTGCACAAGTGTTTTGCACATCTGTTATCCGTCCGGTTCTCAGCGATGCGAGGTCTTGTCTTGGCCAGCGGGCATTGCAATCTTTGGCCGAGCGTCAGCGAAATGAAGCCAGTCGTTTCTTGAGCTTCAGAGGAGCCACGGCGTGCTCGCCGCCGTGCCGCAAAAGCTGCAAACAGACCCTCCTGACTTGCAGAAGTCTTGCAGACCACTTCACCATTTTCGCTCTGTAGCTGTTCTGACATTTGCGCACCTGCGGCTTCCACAAGTTTTCCTTCTCTGCTTGGGCCCGTGCCGGCTGCCGCTGCGGCTCTGCTCTTTGGAAAGTGGGAACCTGCCAATGAGCAATGAGCAAGCCGACGCATTGAGGCATATTGATACGTTGAAGCACACGCGAGAAAGGCTCAAACTCCAGGAGCAGAAACTGCGGCACTCTACCAGAGATCTCGAGCTATGTGATGCTACGTGCTTCGCCAACGGTTCTTCCGGCTTCTCTTCAAGCGGAAATCCAAGCTCGACTTCTTTCTATACGACACGACAGCACTACGACAACGGAGCCGAAGACATTTTCTTGTGGGCAGTGCTCCTGTCCAAATCAGAAAACGCGCCGTTCATGCGCACTTTCATGCATTCTCCTGCCAGGTGCGCCATGTGCCATCCTCACCTTCCAGAAACAGCGTGCTAGCGTGAACTTCTCAAAGCTGAGTTTCGACATCAACACGTGCACCTGTTGCAGACTTCAGTGCGCAAAGCAAGAGCGTTTCGGCCAATCAACAATTTCCAAAGGATGGAGTTTTCGCCTTCTTGTCGCAGTATCCCAATCTTGCCAAGAAGTACAACCTTCTCGTGTGCAAGATCGCGCCCAAGCGAGCCGCATGAAATCGAGCTTGAAGGGCAGATCTTCTTCAAAATGCCCAGCGCCAAAAGTATATCCAAAAGTATCAGTAGCCAACCCCCAAGGTCACCTGAGAGAACGACAAAGGCAAACTCCGAAACAGCGCTGACGCAAACGCCCGCTCCACCTCAAATGTCTGTAGTGTATCCACCCCACGCTCGCAAGATCTGGTGTCAGCTGATGAGCTCTCGGCAACCTCGTAACAAATCAGTACCTCCAAAGACACTAGTATGGGTTTTTGGGAGCTGAAAACTCTTGAAAGACTCTTGAAAGCGTTCGTTTGCGGGCTGCTCGCCACTCCTGGCGTACCTAGCACCCAGAACAAGAACCCAAAAAGATGTTACATTTGAGCCTTTGAAGTTTGAAGCAGCTCGAGGAAATGGTACGTCCATAACATGCTTCTCTGACATTTCCAGACGGCCTGTTGCCAGCAACCAGAGCTTCCACGGACCACTTGCTTAGCAGCCTGGCCTCTTGCCCGCAAACCGTCCGTATTGTTCTTCCCCGCCTATATGTACTGGAACACAACCGCCCAAAAAAAGCGCGGCTCATGTTTCCCTAGAACTGTCGCGGCAGCACTCTCCTTCCGAGTTCAGGACGTTGGCTGCTCAGCAAGCAGTCGTGGTGTAGTGGTGGGAGGGAGCTAGGTTTTGATGCATAGAACCCAGAGCCCCATAAAAGCCAAACTCTCAAAAAAAAAACCGAACCCTGCAATCTCCCTTCTCCATTCCATCAGCTCCCAAAACAGGCCAGAGGTCTCAAACGTTTCAGGGATGTTTAGGGATGCTTCGGTTAGGCTGAGAGTGAAAGGACAGCGATGGCAAGTGATTGCACTCAATCGGCATGACAATAAAAGCCAAAACTAGGCCATACGCGCGCGAGGCGCCTTGCTACTTTCAAGGGTGTGAATGTGCTTATTTCCTAGCTTTTTTGTACGAATTTAGGAAAATTTCAGGTTTTTTGCAAGAGCCAAAACTATTCATTGTTATTGATACATGAGTTGGTTTTCAACAGTAAGTGTCTTTTTCGAGGTGAGGTTTTCTTCTCTCTTAGACACTGCGAACCCGAAAGACTCGCAACCTGTACACAAACAGTAAGTGTCTTTTTCGATAAAACGCTGTACATACCAGTGCCCAACAAAGAGGCGAAAACCCTGTAAATACCAGTGTTTTGGGCACGGCCGCGAAAGGAATGGACGCTTGTGACAGATCTTGTTCCACATCCTTGTGCAGTATGTTGTACAAAAGAGGCGAAATCGCTGTAAATACTACTAGTGTTTTGGGCATGGACGCAATATGAAGGACGTTCTTATCCCCCCCCCCCTCCCCGCCTCCCCCCCCCAACCCCCCGAGCCACCCATCGTGCAAAAATGCACGAAATATCGCGGCGCCAGATGGGCGTGTAACCAACTAGTTGCCTGGGTTTGTGCAGTGAAGCTGTAAGACGTTGCGATAGCTGTAGTCAGCGCGGGGGTGCACTCTCTCCGTGAAAGAAAAGGCAAAGTATGCCCAAACCAAAGAGTTGTCGCTCTTTGCCAATGGATTTGGCATCGGGCGCCGGACCTCGACTGCAGGAGTCACGCATGCCAGCGCGCTGAGCTGGAGCTGCGATGGCAGTCGACCCCTGGGTGCTATCGAATTGCCGCACAGATGGAGCAAGTAAAGCAAAGGCTGCTACACACCGATCAACTTTGCTGGTACCTGGTTGGCCGACGTGGCGGTTCAGCTGCCGGCGGAGTGCCTGAACGGCGGGAGTACGAAACTATGGACACGGCCGCCGACACATTTCCGCCTTGCCGCCACACTGCATCCAATACTCGCGGCGATCACGCGAACTCAGGAGCAAGCGCACGTGAAGATCTTCCAGAGTGGTGTCTTCAGTATGCGTTCGTGCTCGGCGGGGAGTCACCTGGAAAAGACATGCAATCTGGACGATGGAAGATGATGAAGGACTTGCATGCACATGACATGCTCATACGCTCCATGCGCTTGCATCATCTTGCGTTACAACTCCTTGGCTGAATCAAGACATATTCATCATTATTCATCTGTTCGCCTCGGACTCCGGCTGTAAGGCGTCTGGAAAAAACAGACCCGGAGGATCGGGTCTCCTTCCGCCCTTCCCAATCCTTCTCCCATACACCAAACACCACCCCCCCCCCCCCCCCCCCCCCCCCCAACCGAAATTCACTCGGGGGAGTTAGGGACGATTTTTGGAGTTGCCGTTTTTTTGAGGAGAAAAGAGGCGGAGGTAGGGAATGGTAGGGAGGTCTCAGGGTCAATCCTGTCAGAATGCGATTGCAGTGTGCACATAGGACTTACAGATACTTCCAGAGGTTCCAGACACAGGATCAAATCAAGATGAAACAACAAGTCGGAAAATGGTGGGCCGAGCTTGAAAAGTGCCCCGTGCACACCCCCCAAAAAGTCCAGAATCTAGCTGAGTATCCTGGAGTGCCTACCGCCAGAGAAGCCCGCAGAGAAACCCCCCGAGCATCCCTGGACCGAATGGCCCAAGCCCGCAGAGAGCTGCAGCGTTTTCAGAGGGACCAGCCAAGTGTCCCTGGAGGACCGTACCCACCTCCAGAGAAGCCCGCAAGAGTTTCGGACATTCCACGGAAAGCGCGGTGTCTGTAAGGACCGGCAGGATGGATCAGGTACCTGCAAGGTGGGTTCGCGTTGGCGTTTTGGCCTGGCAACCGATTCTGAACTCTGTTCGCATTGAAGAAGGCTAAAACATATGACAAGTTTGAAAAGCGCTTTTTGAAACTTTCCAACATTCTGTTGCGAAACAGTTGACCAGTGTGAACCGGCGTAAAAATTCGGAAAAGCTCCAAACCGAGGCAGACGTTAACTAGACCACATACTGAAGGTCCTGCGTACATATTATACATATTCATGTATACATGTATTTACATATGTATATATATTACATATATATATATATACATATAAATTATGCATATTTATGCATCATATACCTCTATTCATTTATGTATATTGGCCCCGTATGCAAACGGTTTCGTCGCACATCTGCAAGCCAAGGCAATGTTCGAAGCCAGCACTGCAGCCAGTCACCGCGGTCGCAGTGTGAGAATTTGTGAGAGAACTTCGATCATGGTGTTGCTACGTCTTAACTTGTCTCCTCTCGCATTGTGTCGCCATCACTGTCGGATTCGTAGGAGACGAGTGAGCCAATCCCTGGACTCTGGGATACACTCGCAGTGGATTGTTCCTCATTCTTGTCATCTTTTGATTTTGTTTTGACCAGAAAGCGAGAGCCGCAACCCCTGGCACCATTCCTCCAGTTTTTGACCTGGTTCTTTCGAACCGTCACCGATTTAGTGCTGCCGGACTGTTCAGACTGCTCCCGAAGTCTTGCAAACATCTCCGACTCGGTTTCAAGCCGAGGTTTGCGATCTCCGATGGGATAAAACTTGTCATAGATACCCTTATCCAACGCAGTATTCCTCTTGCTTCTGGCATCCTGATCGTAGTCAATCTTGAGGCCCTCATCTACGTCTTCCCACTTAAAGCCCTGATGTGCTTGCATGGCTCGAGTGGCGTTTTCAATCGCGTCATAGTCCACAAAAACCATTCTGCGCGACTTGTGACCCACTGGCCGGCACTGCAGGAATCCCTTGTCCAGGGCAAACACTGCCTCGACACCATCCGAAGATTCCGCATCAGGTATGCCTGTTACGAACAAGGTGTACGACGGCTTTGTATAGGTCCTCTGATTGTTTCCAGCGTCGAAACCTCCACTTGTGTCTCGGAACTTGGAGCCAAATGGGTTCGCATCCTCTCCAACACGACGCAGCCCAGACATTCCGCATTGCACGCCAAACCATCCACTATCTACGGAAATCTACATCGGAGGTTACGTCTGAATGTTCAACTTATTGCAATTCGCATGGCTGCATGAAGGACTTGGCCCGGTGCAGAACAGCTTGAGACCTATCACTGTTCGCATATGCTGCTCATCAGTGAATGAGGAAGTGAGCAAGCCTTTCTCAAGTTGCACAAGCGTAGAACGTCTTTGAGCAAGACGATCACTATGTTGCATTCGCTGAGGCTTCTGCAGGCAAAGGCTGATCCCCCGACACTCCCCACATTGTATCGTTTGTGTCACATCTCTACACTAGTCTCTATACTATACATCTGTCACATCCCCTTGGATTAACCATTTTGTATCGCAGAGTTACTTCTTCCAGCTGCTTCGCTTCAAACTCTAAATTCTATGAGCGAGAGATGTGCAGGGTCTCGAAGGGTCTCGATACGTCTCGTAACCCCGTGCTGTCATCGCGTCCTACTCGTCTCAGATTCCCTTTCCTCTTTGTTGATATTCCAGTTTGCATGCTTACTCTGCTTCATTCCTTGATGGCCTGGTATAGCCTTCATAGCGCCATGCTCGTCTGAGGCTTCAAAGCTCTAATTACGCGTCTTCCCTTTGTCTGCCATGGCACCCTGGGAACTCAGTTCATACAAGATGCCATGATGTGCCTGTCTACAGTAGCAGCGGCCTCAATCAGCAGAATTATGCCCCAAACATCCCAAGACCCCGTGCCCCACCATGCAAGCCCTGTCAGAAAACAAGAGGCAAAGCTTCAGGGTAGCAGATTCCCCGAAAAAAGCGGGCTCAAGCAGGGTAAATTGGGCCTCCACTGCTTCGCAATTCTCCGTGCAAGTCTCCCGTGCAGTTCCGCGGTTCCCTTTGTCAGGATGCGAACACCGAAAGTTGCAAAAAACAGTTTTGCGAAACTTCACTGCTTCACCTTGAGCATCGACATCGAAGCCACGCTCCAGACAATCCGGACAGAACCAGGATCCACGTGGCCTCAGGTACTCTCGAAACTCGGGCTGCCAGAACTTAGCACGAACTCCTCGCTCCGGGACCCCTGCACTTCATCCAGCCCAACGCAGGCCACATGAAACGTGGCATTGCCTCAGCTGCAGATCCACGTAAGCCACACCGATGCTTGAAGAAGGTTTCCCAAGATCTGTGGATGCATCGCTGGATCAAAGCTTTTGCCCACTCTCTCAGTTTTGGCAAACGGTCTCCAGAGCGTTTTGCAATGCATTGGTATTTACCTCCCACGTGGACCTTGTGGAAGATGAGATGAGACCCCACAAGCACCCAACAGCGGTTTCACAACAAGCATGCTCAAAGTTCTGTTGCACGCCATGCGCCAGGCTCAGATAACTTCAATGCAACAAAACAGCCGATTCCCAAAACCGGGGCGGAATTCCGCCACCACAGTGTTTGGGTTTCGTTGGGGCGGAATTCCGCCACCACGGCATTTGCCGAGTTTTCGCACGCGCGGGTCCCATAGAGGTACTGCATTTGTACTACTGTACAGCAGTACTACATTAGTTCTATATCATAGAAGAAGAAGGAGGGCGCGGGGGAGGGGGGGGGTGGGGGCAAAGCGCGCGCGTACAACAGCAGGGTCCCATAGAGGTACTACGTTTGTGCTACCAGTACAGCAGTACTACATTTGTACTACAAGAAGAGGGAAGGGGGGTGGCAAAACCGCGCATTTGCGTTACGAGAGAGAGAGAGAGAGAGGAGAGAGCGAGAGAGATAGGGAATAGAGAGAGAGAGGGAAGAGGAGAAAGAAGGAGAGAGAGAGAGAGAGAAAGAGAAGAGAAGAAAGAAGAGAGAGAGAGGGCTGGCGGTGGAGGCCGAAAGGAGGAGGAGGAGGAGGAGGTGGAGGTGGGGGTGGAGGTGGAGGCGGCGGAGGCGGCGGCGGCGGCGGGATGCAGCACCAAAAGCTAAAACCCCGCACGGTGATGTGGGGACAAACCGCCTCAGTACGGGAGCTCGGGTCCTTCGCAGCTTGAAGGTTCCAAGGGTTTCGGATCAACTGGGGGCAGCGTTCGCTACTAGTAAATAATTGCGGAGCAGCGAATGCCTGCACTCACCGTCCTCTCAAGTGCAGTACCAACTTGCAAATAGCACTTTTGTCTGCGAACATGATGCGCAGACTGAGCGCTTCGCAAGTGCCATGCATGCCATCGCAAAGCAGCAGCTGAGACTCGTCCCCGACCTCAGAAACTTTGTTGCGGCTCTCATACACTAGTCAAACATTAAAGACCAGGCTTTGCCACCACGACTCTGAGGAAACGATTGTATGATCGAATCACGCTCGATTTGGGCAAATCTGTAAACATGTTCAATGACCATCTTGAGCACTTGTTTATTCTGCTCACACTGTGCTCACACATATTACCGCTATTTCGATGCTGCCCTTGTCCTGTTGTCTAAAGAAGGCCACCAACAACAATAAAGCGCAACAAAACAAAAGCCGAAGAAAGTGAAATCAGCACGAACATGCACAAACCAGTCGAGGGGATGCTGTTGCTATTGCGACATGACCAGGCCTGATGGCACCGTTCACACACAGAAACCTCGTCGAAGGCATCATCTTCCTTCGAGACTAGAGTGGAAAATCGCAGCAGCAAGGTGCTTGTTGTTGGGAAGACAGTTTCTCTTGCGTCTTACTGATTCTTTTGGTAGCTGAGGCAGCACTCAAACCTGCTTATTGATCCATACTCCCTTCCTACCTTCTGCCGACTTCCATGTGAGCCGGCCTTCCTGGTGCTTCTATTTTGAGGATGTTCGAGGTTCAGAGACCTATCACGATGTCTTGAAGGTGGGTGGGGTACAGCACGGCTTATCTCTTTAGCCGGCTGCACTCAGGGTCGGAATCTGATGAAACTCTAAACTCCGAACCTGCGCACCCCAAAACTCCAAAGCTACACAAAAAAGGCACCACCTGTTCTTGATGAGAGAGGTTCTATTTCTACAGTTTTGCAGCGCTGATCTCTCTTCCAAACAGCTTACAATGTTTCCGTGTGTTTCGGTCATTGAACTGACTATCGCCACTTCCATCCACTTCCACCCGAACTTAACGACATGTAATACAAAAGACACCGGCGTGCATGCGATTCGAAGTCCTGCTCCTCTTGGTCTTTGCCTCGGCACAGTCAGCACATGTTTTCATGAAACCTTGCTCAAGCCTTTAAGGCCAGGCTCAATTGCAGAGTTCCCGACTTTGGATTCTTGTCAAAGCAGTCCTTTTGCCCAGCTCATCATAGGCTGCCTGCAAGCTTTGCAAGCTTTGCAAGTTGAAGCATGTCGCTTGCAAGCTTCACAGCCAGAGAGCCAAAGATCTGGAGTGGCTGGCCAGCCAAAAGAATCGGGTTTTGCACTGCGGGCAGGTGTTTTCAGTCTGCGACCATTTTTCGACCTGCAGTCACGACAGACTCACCCTACATGCAGGCAAGCTGTCCATCTGCGAGCCCGACGCACCCGTGATGAAACAGATGCGTGCAGTTGTCGATGGCCCCGACCTGTTGCGATCGCGCCAAAGTTTCACTAACTACTGCTAACTACAACTGGCTACTACTAATCACTGCGGACGCGTTGCGTAGAGGCTCGTGGTGTTCTAAAGACACTTTGGTAAACAGCGATTTGCATTTTACGTTGGTATTTACCGTGGATTCGTTGTTTGTGTAGACAACACGTGAAAACAGGGCAAAAAGTGTGGGGAGAAAACTACTAGTTTTTTCATATTTTTCACAAGATATGTACTGATATGGCTGATCACTCATGTTTCAATTTCGTGCTACTGGCTCTGGCCTGAGTAAACCCTGCACACCAAACCCAAAACCCATGTTGAAGGGTGGGGGCAGCGAATAATTTTCAGCACGGCCGTTTCAGCAAACCCTAAATCCGAAGCCCTGAACCCTCAACCCCAAACCCTACACCTGTCTTGAAGGACTGGTTCTATTGTTGTGGGCATCCAACCTTTAACAGGGACGTCATCATCGTGCGGGCATGCATGCTCTGGCCAGTCGCACGCACCGGTAACATGGACGTAATCAACGTGCGGGCATGCATGCTCTGGCCATTCGAATGAACTGGTAACATGGACGTCATCATCATGTAGACATGCATGCTCTGGCCATTCGCGCGCACTCGTTGTGTGCTCCACGTGTTCGGTTGTGCCCCAGCTCAGCAGAAGTGCAAACATAATTGCAAAGCTGATGACTTGGACTGAAGCTGCAACACTCATCACCCGGCCGTGACTAACTCTTGGCATTTCCTAGCTGGGCTGAACGCAGCTAGGGAAACTAAAACGCCTGCGCATCGGACTCTATAGGAAGCAGGCAAGCCTCAGCTGACAATTTTCAGAGATTCTCTGAGGCCCACGGCCCACAGCTGCCATGAACATGCAATGAAATCAAGGCTTGGACTCCGCAAACTCGCTCCCCCTTGTCAAGACCACATCTGCGCAGCGCTGTGTAGATCTTCATACTAGTAGGGGCCTAGATGGGCCTAGTGCGCTCAGCACTCCTTGAGATTTTCAGGGGCTGAGAATTCGAGCTGTCAGCTGTTAGCCTCACGTGAGTTGGCGCCGATGTCGTGAGGATGTCGCGAGCGACCACTCGCTCAGACCTGCAGTCGGCATGCTTCTTCAATTGTGCAGCGTGCACAATCTCACCCTGTGTTTAAATTTCTTTGCTTTCCAGTTGTTTTCCACGCCTCGCCCGTACAGTGGGCAGCTTCCGCTTCTTCGGCGCCTTCGCACAGCAGAGCGGAGAATGCATTCGTGAATTGTCTGTCCTTGCAAAGTTCCGTGATCATGTTAAGTGAGGCACCATGCAGCACCTGCTTCACATGGCCGAAGGATGCGTGCTAAGAAATGAACCTTTCTGTCGGCTAGTTTGTCGAAATGCTCGGCTTGGGGTCAGACGAGCGCTCTTGGCTGAACGCTCTTAGCTTATGTCGGGCCTGACTGCACAAAGCACCATCCCTAGTCTCAGCCTAAATGGGGTAACCCGGTACCTACATTCAGAACAGACGGAGACGTCTAGGAAGCACAGCGTTGAGGCTAATGGTCGTGCCATGCTTTGTGTGCTCTAGTGCTTATGCGGAGCACTTTGAAGAGCTCCAGACGCCAGAGGCCATTGCGACCACGTAATTCCACATGCATCACACAACAAAGTGGATCGGTCTGCAAAGCAGCATGCCGCATGGCTTCGATTAGGCTCTCAACTTTGCAGTCCACTCAACAAATCAATGAATCAGGTCCTGGAGCTTGCTCACCTGACAAGTCCATATCCCAGCGGGCCTACTTCGTGAGCTTTCGTCTATGGACAGTTATCTTTGCCAGTACTTGGCAATGCTCTAGCAGGTGGAAACTCTCCCAGTCCTCCCATAGAACCTTCTCCTTGTTCTACCATGTGATTCCTTCCGCTTTTGATTGCCCATCACCCCCTCCGTCGGTTCTTGTCGGGAAAAATCGGATTTGCAACAAGGCCCCGCTCCAACGCACCATAAATCCCACAACACTCAGAAACTATCTTCCTTGTCCCCACAAACTCAAAACATCAAACTGAATGCTCTGCATTGTTTTCCGGAGTGTTGCATTCGAAGGTATTCCATCGGACCAGAAACTTTGAGCCAGCATGGAGAACAACAATGACTGGCGCCGACCTTTGCCGAAACGTTGTTTCGTTGTTTCGTATGAAAAAAAGTAGTATGGGCAGACCATAGCAGCTTTTTGTTGACAGGTTTCTCTTGGGCTTGCGTGTTGAACTTGCTTGCCGCGGATCTCTATTACGCCTACATTTGCTGAAACATGTTTCGCATGAAGAAGGTAGTAATCGATGCGTTTCGGTCTGTAGCGTTTACAAAGACTGAGTCCAGAGATTTGGCACGTTGAAAACGATCGTATGAAGCAAATCCTCTATGCCCATTAACCCTCAATCAATGAGATTCTGAGATTGATTAAGCTCGCTCAGTTTTCTACATAGTCGAAACAAACACTTATTGGGCAGTCTGAGTTCATCTAGTTCGCCGAGCTCCTGCTAATAAGGGCTTACTAAGTAATCTCAAAAACGGTGCACTTAGCACTTCAGCAAACATGTAGAGAAATGAAACGACTGTAATGGCGCAAACTCAGCAAATTGAACGCATGAGTCAAAGTAAGCACTCCATTTTCACGAAAATGTCTGGCTTCTGCTTCTGCTTTCTTGAAACTGACTTAGCTATTTTACTCAGCACTTGAATGACATATCTGCATCAGTTTCCTATATGTACGCGTTAACAAATGTCTTCAAACAAAGTAATTGACTAATTTAAAGTCTGAAAAACACCGTCCATCTAGTTGAACTAAAGTTAAAGGGCTAGTCAAATACAGGATCGTGTTTCGGTTAGTTTAACGTGCTTAATTTATGTACCACTAGATGAAGTAGATAAACTTAACTTTTACCTATTGGGAAGCCTGATTTTCATTCTTGCATGTAAGCACGAAATTTAACTAATCAAACTAACGCTTTGTCGGCCAAGAACCGGAATTTGAATATGTTAGTTCATGGAATTCAAACCAATCCAGGGTTCATGAACGAGAAGTCAAATAACTAAATTGCGATTCGTTTAAGAATGAGTTGCCTAACTTGTCTGACACTAACGCTGAAAATAGTACACAGGGCGCGCAGTGTCCCAGTAGCTGTCCTTCGCTATTTGCCTACCAGCTCATAGTCTATCTTCTGTAAGTATTATCGGGGGAAGTTTTTTGCCTTGCTATTGCTTAACACTCCTCCTTGGGTCTGGGGTCTTGTCAGCTGTGCTTCTTGGGACAAGTAGTCGGTTATGAAAATTGTCCGAGGGTTCTCAGAGATCTGCTCAGAGTATTCTCGTGCCCAGGCCTGGCCATCGCAGAGATCCCTACCGAGTATCGTTTGAGCGCCCACCCAGAGAGAATCCCGCACAAGAGTCCCGCCGAGCATCCTGCCCCAGAATCAAAATTTGTTTTGCAATTTTCGCCGAGTATCTCAGGAGTGCCCAGCTCGGAGAAACCCGGCGAGCACCCCGGGAGTGTCCACCCACCACGAATCCCGCCAAGCATCCCTGGGCAAGCTCACCCCCCGCCCCGGAGAATCTCTGCAGTGTATCCCGCCAAGTATCCTTGGAGCGCCGTCTCCGGGAAAGCAATTGCGATTGAATCCTGCGCAGTATCCCTAACCTGCCCGAAAACGGCAGGATGGCTCCAACATCGGAATGACCGAAGTGAATAATCAAAAAGAGATTGATTCTCTTGCATCATTCCCCCCAGCTCTTGCTACGTAAAACCTGAGATGACAGAAATACTGACACATGAACAACTATTGACGGGGGGCACTACAAGGGGGGGAGGGGAGGGCGGGGAGAGTGGTGTTGGTATTTTCAACCCCCCTGCCCAAACCTCCGCCCAACCACCCCAACCCCGCCCAAACCCCCGCCCAAACCCCCGCCTAACAGCCTTGCCAACCCCAACCACCCACCACCCAACCCCCTTGCAAGGTTGTTTTGTCAGCGCTTCGCTCGTGAGCGACGAGCGACTTTAGCTGTGACGGTTGTTGGGAATGGGGCACAAAGAAAGTCTCGAATGCTCGCTGTCTTGCATGCTTCGACATGTTCCCATCCCTATTTTCATGTCTGAATGCGGTTGGGGGTTATCATGAGCAATCACATGATGGTTTCGGGACTTGTTCTGTTGGTCCTGAAAGGACATGGAGATTTCTCAGATGTAGCTTCAGGAATACGCTACGCAAAGTATGCAAAGACTTGGGGCTTTGGAGATGTTTTGGCGGAATTTCTGCTGCTCGCCAGTGTAAGTACCCTGATAAAAGCCTCAAGCTGATACTCATTGATCACTGAGTAGCGAAACTAATTAGAGCCAAGCCTTTTGCTCCCTCATGGAATGAAATATGCTGAATGAAGGCAGAGCAAGCGAATTCGTGACTCAGTGTTGGCGACGCCCCTCAAGTTGTTATGTCACGCTTTCCGCGACTTGTGAGGCCGAAGATACCGTGGGCACAAAACATTGCTTGCTTTGCCTCCTTCTTGCAGAAGAGCTCCACAAAGCGTCGGAGTTGACGCATAGCTTCAGAGCTGGAGCCTGTGGTCTGGCTCCTCAAGGACCAGCTTGCAATTGCATGCTGGATGTCACAGCCAGGTTAGGCATCTCGGCTGCACGAGATACTGCAAGTGCTACTGCATGAACTACTTCGACTACTGATTGCTTTGGTCCATAGTTGAGCATGAAACCCTCCCAGCTGGCTCCAGCAACCTCTTTCTTCTTTTTGTTGTTGTCGGTTTTTCTCTCTCTCTCTCTCTCTCTCTCTCGCCCTCTCTCTCATATGATCCCCGAAGGGACCGCCCCAAGGGGCACGCGTTACAGAGTCTGCGGAAATGTGTGAAAAGGCGTACATATGCCATATGCTTGTTTCTCAACCCTCCATGCCTATTAATAGAAGAGGTACACCGGTACACACCCCATGCTTGCTACGAAAGCTGCTCGATGTCGTTTTCAGGTGTCGAGCTGCTTCGCCCCTTCTGGTCTGTCTCCTTCTTCCCCGCATCCCGCCCGCCATGGTGCTCCCCGCCATGTTCTTTGTCTCGTGCTTCTCCTTTTGGTACTTCTTCACGTTGTGGGTGTCCTCGCGGTTGGTTAGCCCGCTCTCGTTCTTGGTCTCGTTGTCCAGCTGGTGGGTTTGCTCTTAGTTCCTTCCCCCTTGTCCGGTTTTCGCCGCCTTTGTTGCCAGGCTTCTGGTTTGGTCGTGATGCCAACGATGTCGACTCTTCTCTTTCTGCTGTTCTTTCCGCTGGAGCTCTCTCTTCTTCTTCTTCCTCCTCCTCCTCCTCTTTTTCTCTCTCTCTCTCTCTCTCTCTCTCTCTTGCTTGCTGTGCGTATGACCCCCTAAGAGGCCGCTCCAAGGGGCACGCTCTACCGCGTCAGAGACAGGGGTTTGGTGGAGAGCGGTCATTCCAGGGATAGGGGGACGGGGGATAGGGGAAAAGCACTGAAGGGGGGGGGGGGGGGGCGGTTCCTGGGAGACTCACCAGGATCCGTGCTAGACACAAGTTAAGAGTATTGGATAGTATTGGTGAATGGTGTCTCCCTTCCGCCCCCTGTCGAGTTTGGTTCTCCCTTCAGCCCTCCACAGCATGTGTGACTTGCACTAAGCCCCTCTGCATTAAGTTAAAGAAAGGTTCCGTTTGTGCAGGTCTCGCTGTGGGCTGTTCAGGGTGGTGGCGTGAAACTTGCAAGTCTTCTTCTCTACTTGGGATTGCACTGAGGATGGAAGACAGCTCTCGCTCTCTCTTTCTTTCTTTCTTTCGTTGGGGCATGGAGGGAGCCCCCCCCGCGCGACAGCGCGCCCCCGATTCCGCATGCTCTCTCTCTCTCTCTCTCTCTCTGTGGCTGGAGCTCTGTCTTGCATAGAAGAATACGTAGAACCGGCCAAGTGCATTCCTCATCTCCGTTTCTTTGAGCTGCTTGCGTTCTCTCGCGTTCTCGCAACCCCGGACCGAAACACGACCCGGAATCCGATCCTGAAGCTGGGACCTGGACCCACAAACCCGAAACTGGAGATCAAGCCGCTCAAACTTGACGACTCCAACGCGAACATCTTTATGGGGTCCAATTGCAGCAGCCATGCCATGCTCTGATCGGTGTACGAGCAGCTGCTTTGCGCGGGGTACCCAGATACTTGAATGCCACTTTCGCCAAAATGTTTCAACACTGTGTGGGAGGCATGAACTTCGCACGCGGGAGCCCTGCAAAGAGGATAGACTCGGATAGGTCGCTCCTGGCAATCTCCTCCGACAACTTGCTGGCTCGAGTCCACATGTCTGCAACCTGACGATGGAGCCTGTGGCCACATTAGTTGGTGAATCAAGCCTGCGCACACATATATACATAGAAAGGTTATTATACATGCATGCATACATACATACATGATCATACATGCATACAGACACACACGAGCACCTGCATCTTGTACAATTGCACACCCTGAGCCCGGAGCTTACGCCTGGCAGCCTCGAACTTGCCTCGATGGAAGTCCTGCTGCAAGATCGACGAACTCTTGAGCCGTTGATACCTGTCAAAATGCACAAACCGTACTTGGATGTGCTCCGAGTCACCTGACTTTGCAAGTTGTCAGGCTCAGCTTCGTCGTCATCACCTTGGCAAAGCTTGTGTGATTTCCCTATGTTACAAGCCACATCAGGAAGTCACGTGGCCTGAACGCCGAGGCCGCTTCTTGCGCTTGGGAAACATCTTCCGAAACCTGCAAGAGACTTGCCGTGGTCTGAGCGGCTCGGAAACTGCAGCTACGCCATGAGAACCTTGATGGATCACCCAAATTTTGGTGCATGTGCTGAGCTGCATGGTCATCTATGGCACGTACATGATCATACGTGTCTTTTCGAGGCTGTGCGCTGTACGGTAGCCGGCCGAGGCTGCGACTTTCCTTTGCAAACTTTATGAAGATGCTTTTCCGTATACCGAGTCCAACCAAGACTCTACTCAAGGGGGCCCACAACGGCGTTGATGCGTGCTGTCATTTTTGATTTGTAAATAACAGGATCAAGTGAAGCTCGATGATGTTGTGCGCACTGCACAATGGCGCCTTTGCATCCTACACACACATTCAGCTGGGACCGGAGCTTAGGAGATAGCAGATCTGCTGATACACCTGTGTTTTTTCATGGCTGCTCTCTCGGCTTCTGGCTCCTCATCTGCATCCCAGCTATCTTCAGACAACTCCGATTCATCCTGCGGGTTGTAGGCAACATTTGCAGAAGTGCTGCCCTGCTGTGGCGCTTGCAAACCACGTCAAGCCCGCATGACCACATCCGATCCTGGCTTGGCACGTGCAGCTCTTGCCGTGAGTCCGATAGGTAACTTTTTTCACGAGCAACAGCTGCCTGCTCTGTGACCAAGTCACGAAGAGCAGAAGGCTGCTTTGCGGCCAAGGGGGGTGTTGATGAACAGCTGTCTAATTGCCATCACTCTTAGGCTCCATGCTTGGATAAGATCTGCCCATCACTCTTAGGCTCCAAGTTGGATAAGATCTGCACTTGCAGAAAGGCTAACATGAAGTACGTACTGAGTACTGCGAATCACTGCGGAGAAACGATAAAGGCAAGTGCAATGTCTGCTTATCCGACAGTCACACGTGTGATGCGCATTTTGCAGAAGTCGGAAGGCAGTGCCGTGCAACAGTCGGATTCGGCTCAAGTTCTTTTCGCTGCTGAGCTCAGCGTGGAAAATATCGCACAACCTTTTGCTAGGTGGTGCAATCTTTTGCTGGAATGCATTGCGTATTCTTCTGTACTCAAGAACGATCAGCTACAATCAGCTACACACATCGACGGACAAAGCCTGAAATCATGTCGACCATCACCGCCAGGGACAGACGTGAAGTCTCGACGCCTTGACGCAGTTTAAAGGTTGAGGCACTTGGGGTCACTTAAGAAACAGCTATGATTGTACAGTGATTGTATTGCATAGCGAAGTAACAAAGAAAGTAATCATGGGATACCGTGAGCAACATGATGACCATCCGACCGACTGCTTTTTCTGCCAGCCTTAGGCTATCGCTGGTTCCGTCTAACGCGGGCTGCTGCGAATTGGAAGAGCCCACGTTTGGGGCGCCGTTCCAGGGCAATGCAGCCAGGGTGGTGACACATAAGTTGCGTGTGCTCGCGCATCTCCTTGCTTGTGTGCAATGAGATTACCTAAACAATACCTAGAGAATCGGCATGCCGTGCTGTAGAAAGATCACACTGAATATCGTTAACTTACTTTTTGATTTTCAGCCACACTTCACCGTCACTCCACTTGAGGCAGCCAGGCTCCTACATCCAAGCGGGTGCTGCAACAAATGCTGCGATGAGCGGCAAGGGGCGCATGACGACTGGCCTCGAATGTCGCCTTATGAAGCGAGCCCATCAGCTCCATCTGATAGGTCCCATTAGCCGACACCTGCACAGGGGGCTCAGTGAAGCTACACGGGACTAGACTAGCGGCTACACGAATCCAAGCAGTTCTAGACGCCGGTGTTCAGGCCCCGATTGCCCGTGCAAATATTGGCAACAAGATGCAACAAGTAACTTCAACCTGCAACCTGAACACCTCCTAGATGGCCGTTGTGAGAGTCGCGGCGCACGGTGCGGCAAGCTCACAAGATAACTGAAATTCCCCACAACCCTCCGTCCACTGTCCGTTAAAAGACTGCAGTCCACAGCCCCGAGCCCTCGAAAGATTCAGCTTCTCTGCAAGAAGGATGCTCTTTGATGCTCCCATGCCGCATGACTGGCGGCCAAGGCTGTCCGCGTACCAAACATCACGGGCCTTCAAAGAAGACTTTTCATGGTTGAACTCCTGGTCCCAGATCATGGTTGAACCGATGATCTCGCCTCGAATCAACTGAGTGGGGCGTGTCAATGCCTATGCAACACACTGGTGAACACTCGGCTGACAATCGAGGTCGCCACCCATCAGCTGCCTATCGTGCTGGGTCTGCCAGAGGCCCTGTGGGACCAGAATTTGCTGCAACAAATGACAGGTGGACTGATGGAAGTGTGTGTGTGTTGTTCGGAGGATAATGGGAGGGACTGGTGGGCATAACTACAGAAACGCTAGGCCGCTAGGCTACACTGAGGGATCCTGGATAAGAGCTTGGAACGCGGTCCGAACAAAGGGGGAAAAAGAACAACACAGCGCACAACATAAGAAAACACCCAGTCCTTTCTGAAAGTGCATGCTCAGCCTTGCAACCTCATACAAATAGACAGCAATCACTGGGCTTGCAAAAATATTGCAAAGATCTCGGCTGGTCCTGAAGCTTCTGCATTTCGGCCGGCACCCCAGGATGCTTGGCTGAGAGGGCGTGTGGAGCCTGCAAAGGACCCGTCGGGACTCCAATCTTTGCTATGTGTACCATGACTGTACCATGCAACAGTCTCTATTATGGAACGGATCATCTAAACTCAGAGCAAAATGCCAGCGGGCCAGCACAAATTTGCCTTGGCCTCCGACCCTGTTGTCCCGAGCCAACTCTGCAGTCAAGCTACGTTCCTCGACCCGCGGTCGCTTTCCGTGTCTGCAGTCCGACCGTGCGGACTGGAAACTCCAAGATGCACCGCTTGGACCACCGACGGGCGCTTGTTGCCGAGGCCGCAAGGGGGGCAACTATGACCATAATTTAAGGTCAGCGCTGACCAAGCTGTCCAAAAAAAACGGTTCCAAGTCCAAATTGACAGGACGTCATATCGCGGGTGCATGCTCAAGCCCCAAAAAAAAAAGCCCAGAACCTCAAGACCCTGGGTGAAGTACCATTGCGCCAGCCACGGGCACCCCTTCAAAGCAACGACACAAACAACGGCCGGTGGATTTGGCGGACACAGCGAAAACTTCGCTTATAAGAGGCTTCGGAAAGCTTGTTCTAATGCTCTTCCTTCAAAACTAAACGTGAAACTAAACGCCAGTGGATCCGTTATAGTTTTGGGGCTCAGTTTTCTTGTGGGCTTTTTTTATGCTTAGTGACTTAGTGCTTTTTGGTGGAGCAAGAGGATACCTGTCTGCGACTATCACAGCTGATGTTTTTGGCGGTGCGCCCATCGCCTTCAGTTTCCTCTTGCTGTGGAAATTGGCGGCGCAGGGTCATGATTTGGGGCAATTTGGAGTTGTAGATCCTGATGACACTGCAAGAACGAAGAAGCTCCCCACGGCAGTGCTTAGCAGGATTGGGGTTGAGGTCGTTTGTAGCCAACTGGCCGTCAAAGAATGAACGATTCTCCATGGCTTCTTCAAAATGCCACCGTAGTGGGTGTGCAAAAGTGGGCCGCTAAGTGTTTTCTGCCACTTGCCTCGCTTGCCCCACTTGCTTTGGTTCTTGGGTGGAAAACGACATTGCCCCACTTACCCCACTTGCCTCACTTGCCCCTGTGTGGGCCGCTAAGCGAATTCTGCCGCTTGCCCCGCTTGCCCCGCTTGCCCCGCTTGCCGAGCTTGCCGCGCTTGCCGCGCTTGCCCCACTTGCCCCACTTCGCACGGATTGTTGAGCTTGTTTTTGTTTCTTGGGTGTGTGTGGGGGGGGACAAGTAAGTCTGCCTCAAACGCAGCCCGATTTGATGCAGACTTGTGGCTGGGGACGGTTCGGGAATCGAAGAACTGCAGCCCGATTTGAGGGGGTGGGGGCGGGTGGGAGGGAATGTGGGGGGGGGGGGGGGAACTTGCCCCACTTGCCCCAGTTGCAGGCGCGGGAACAAGTGGGGCAAGTGGGTCAATGAGCTCTTCCGGGCCACCATGTGGGGCAAGTGGGGCGGAAAAGCAAGTGGGGCAAGTGGGGCAATGACGATTGGTGGTCACCGTGGGCGCCCGCAATGCACCGTCGTCTTCAGGATTCTTCAAGCTAACCGGGCTCGCGGATTCCCAATTGCATGCGCAACCAATTAAAAACGAGGCAACTGCTAATGACATTGTCGGGACCTTAGACCTTTTACCAGGTTCGATTGAAGAAGCCCTGCAATTATCTATAATTATCTCATGAGAAGCCGATGAATTTAATGGGATGGCACAGCCTTGGCCTTTGGCAAAGTGCATTTGAAAGGGGCACGGGTGCCAGATGCGTGAAGCGTACGTTTTGAGGGGTCCAGTGCAAAGGACATGCCTTTGCCGCCAGGACTATGGAGCATCCTGTTGTATTGTTATTGTAATGACTGTCATGCTTGGCAACACACCCAATGCAACGAGCTCCGAGAAAGCGACTTCCACTCTTGTGTTGCCCACACAGGGAAGGCGAGAACGGAGAACCTAAACACGCAAGCCCAACCACACAGAACCTTGCCTGCACCGATCCTCCAAAGCTCACCTGACAGGGGAAACATGAAACCGGAAACTGTATACACATACTGGTTCGCGCCATAGTCCAATGCAATCCAACGCCACAGATACCTACCGATATGATCTACCTGGCCTCATCGGTCCCATGTCCAGAATCGAATCTCATTCCCTGGCGGAAATTCGAGACACTTCTGAGAATAAACACGGGAAGCACGAGGACTTGGAGGACTTCATAGGGCACCGTAGAGTGGAGTAGAGTGGAGTAGATCAGTGATCAGTGGAGCAAGGATCAACTCTGCCCACCTCTTGGCAGGACAGAGAAACGCCCTCTTGGCAGGACAAAGAAACGCCCCTAGAAGTAGGATGAAGTAGGCACGGCTTCCAAATGCTTCGGACGCGGCTAACGTTGCGGAGTTCAAAGCACAGCGTTAACACATCTGCGAACAAGAGGTGTGAGAGCGAAAGCTTTCCAGTGACACGTCAACTATTGTTGAATTAAATGACGATTTCTCTGTTGCAAGTGGAGCTCTTGCACACGCCTCTCCCGGCTCTCTGAGTGAAGGTACCTTACTTGAGCTCTGATACTTGCCAGCCTGACTTTTGCGACAAGGTTATCGATAGATAACTGTCTCATGACATCTGCAACACTACAAATCTAATTCTGTCCCTCGACCGACTGGGAGATTCCAGTTCGCCTCATCCTTCCGGCATCCTTCGCATTGGCAGTTTCCCATGGCCGCCTGTGCATGCAAACTGCAAAGGCAATGTGAACTCATCGGAGATCATGCGAAAAAAGATTACTCAAAGATTCGCCTCCCAGGCTAGACTAGCAGAGAGGGGGCGACTTGAGCCGAAAAGATCCAACGGACAATAAAAGAAAAGCATTCCGAGTCTCATCTGTCGAGTCGGCATGCCTCTTGCACTTT